CCCCCCGACTATTTGGCCAAATAAACACTTTTTGCAAGTCGCCCCCCATCCCCCACATTCCCAAAGATAATGATTTCAAAAACGTCAATTATTTGTATCGTCATGACTCATAGCTAATCCTGATTCAAGGTGTTTCTTTCACTGGAGTAACAACGCAGTCATTTTCATCAAATAAAATGCTAATGCCATAGTTTGGTCGCCAGACATTGGCCAACATCTGAAAAAGGCTTCCTTCACAGTATATTTCGTCAAACCTGACAGGCAGGAAGCATCAGCGTGTGAAGAAGTCTTGCAAAGTATTTCAGGCACATTTGTTTACAGCCACTAGAAAAGGACATATAACAGCACATGCTTGATTTTACCCTAATTTTTTTAGTGTTTTGATTTCCTATAATGTCACTATCCTTCTAAAAAATAAAAATAAGAAAAATAGGTTGTTCAATTTAAACCTATTATGGACAAGTTCAGTCCACATGCAACATTGTAAATAAAAATAACAGCTATAAAATGAATTTTAAAACATTCCAAGATCATAATGCCATTCCACATTGAAGCATTTCCCTTGGAGGACAGTGTTGACATGCACACAATGAAATGAGAACATCTGGGCAAGCAAAAAAAAAAAAAAAAAGAAAAAAAGAAAAAAGAAAAAAAATGCAGCTTGGGTAACGACAAGACCCTTGTATCATTCCACCAAACTGAAATGCCCCTTTAAGTACCACTCTGTTGTAGTGTGCATATCCTAGTTTGCTGCAAGTGCTTGAGAGAGTCGCCACTCAACTTCAAACAGGCTTCACATTGTTAAATTTGTTTGGACTGAACATCACATAAAGCCACAGAATGATTGTGCCTGGGATAAAAACAAAAATAACCAAGGACTGCACTGCATCCAGGCCGGTCTAAACGCGTGTTGGGGATAACTTAAAGGGATCAAAGTGTCAACACAGTAACATTTCATGACAAAAGACTCCGAAAATGTAGAAACCAAAATCAGTAAGGACATTTCATGCCGTGAAACCAACATGATAGGCTACTATTGCTGTGCTTACGAAAAAAAAAAAATAATCATCTTATGCCTTGATGTTGAGACCTTTCCACGAATAAGGAATGCTGGTTTGATTTAACAAACCATAACTAAAAGTTTGAAGATGAAATCTGAAATACGACCCTTGACTTCTAGTTCCCCATAGTCAGATAAACTTTAGACCTGTTTTTTTTTTCGGCACAGAAAAATAATTCCTGAAATTGTATTAATTAAAATTTCAGCTTTGCTATTGCTCCCAGCTAATGTCTGATACCATTTAATATTAACGGGATTGCATAAGAGGTTGTTAAATCAAGATAAAAACAAAATTGGCCACTTCACAGGAACAACGTTAATCCTCGAGAAAAATTGACATCCAAGTGCCCTTGGGCTCGCATGACAAACATCACGCCTCACCTGGATTGGGTTTGGTCATGTGACATTGGTAATGCTGTCAATTTCAGTCCACGACATAGGGGAGTAGAAAGACATTACTCCGGATACAATGTTTCGACTACTGGGATTACATGGAACATATTATTGGTCAGAAACATTTTTGACTTAACTTCCAATTTCAAAATAACGCTGGTGATAATTTTCCCACCCATTTCCTCATCACTAAAAGTCTTTGGAGAGCTCAAGATACAGTATATTGGTGAAGGGCTGTGTTTTTTTTTTTTTTAACTAAAATACTTTTTGACCGAGTTCCTTTTAGAAATAGGACATCACCGATACCACCTCGACCATGTGTGGCATGCAGACTGTTTGGCCAAATGGGGTTGTAGCCCTGCCACATGAAAATGAAGAATCCAGTATTTTTATGCACTTGGTGGAGAAAAGCTTTATCCATTGATCATTGTTTGGCACTCTTGCTCTTGGACGGCCATATCAATGCTGAGATTGTTCTTACATTGTAGCTTGTGGTGCAAAGTCAGACTGACACTTCCACAGGTAAAAAGCCAACCAAATAGTGTTTTATATTTACACACACACAAAAAAATTAAAAAAGACCAGTCATTAATATATTATAAAAGACTAATCTCAGTCATCTGAGTTTTACTTGCAGAATTGGGATCCTATGCTTGCTAAACGTAAACATTCTAATCTACCCAACAACTTTGGGCTTGGCTTGCACAGTCCATGTGCAACTAAGAAAATCTATTGACCTCTACCAAAAAAAAAAACAACAAAAAAAAAAAACATTGGAATCTTTCCATTTGACCTTTGATAATACTGTCTTAAGGGCAAACCCTCTGATTTCAGTTAAAAAAAAAAAATAATAAACCTCCCTTCTTTTTGTACCGTTAACTGTCATGTCCTCATATAAATACTTAAAAGAATCCAAAATTGATGACATCACAAAAGCGTGAAGAGTATCCAGCAGTGATGACACGTGACCAGTTTCCAGCCATTTAAAAATACCACCACGGGAGGAGTTGATTTACAAGAATTGTTCGAGGCAGCCTCGGAAACATCAACGCAATCCGAAATATTGCTCAACACCGACCTCCTAAACGAAACCTTTAAAATACAGAAACTATTAAATACTGATTAGCCTTCTAAAATATTTCAATATCATATCTATAAACAAACTCATTCTAATTAGGAAGCATTTTTCACACCCTCTGGTGGCAACACACCCGGGTGGAAGATTTGTTGTAGTAAGGTGTCACATTGTTGACATCAAATGCCCAGCACGTAGCAAATCTTTCCCATGCGCTTGCTCGTGAAGCAGCTGCAATGAGCCAATTAACAACCACATCTCTCTTCAAAACGAAAAAGTTTGAAAAGCAAAATTATGGTGGGAAGTGTAACTGCTGACAATGTAATGATTGGTGATACAACTTTTAATATTAACGCTCATAACTAGTGAATATCTGTTTGAAAACAGTCTGACCTAAAACGGAGCAATATACAATTTTGAGCTAAAGTTGTTAGCTACACATCCCAATTCCAATGAAGCTGGGTCATCGTGTAAAATGTAAATAAAAAGAGAATACGATTTTGAAATCCTTTTCAACCTATATTCAATTGAATACAACACAAGGGCAAGATATTTAATGCTGAAACTGATGAAGTTTTTTTTTCCATGATTCTCCTCTCTCATTTTGACTTTGATTGAATTTGATCAACACGCTCCCAAAAAGCTGGGGTGGGGGACACAAAACTAGGAAAGTTGAGCAATGCTTAAATAACAATTAAGGGAAAAAAAAATGTTTGGAACAAGATCGACGAGTGCCATTGGGTATAAAAGGAGCATCCCCGAAACGATTGGTTCGTCACTCTTAGTGGGCATGCATGATCTGAGGATGTTCTAAATTTGTTTGCAGCGAAGCATAAAATGAAGTACGACATTATGGATGCACATTAGTCAACAAGGGCTAACGTCTCTCAACGTACAATTGCAAGGAATTTAGTGTTTTAATCATCTACAATCTGGAGAAATCTATGCACGTAAGTGGGAAGGTCAAAAACCAAAACTGGATGCCGGTGATCAAAATCTGTGAGGTGGCACTGCATTAAAAACCATTGCCACAATAGGATATTGCCAAATGGGCTCACAAACACTTCAGAAAACCGTTTGTCAGTTAAATTGTTGAACGGTGAGTCACTAGATGTGCAAATGCAAGTTAAAAGTCTACGATGCAAGGCGAAAGAGGAAAAAGATCATTTGGACTCAGCGCAAAGTTCAAAAGCAAACATCAGTAATCATAGCTGGGAGGTACATCTCGGGTTTGGAGTAACATATGTTGTCATCTAAGCAATGTATTTTTGAGAGACTTTCCAGCATATTTCAGCAAGACAATTCCAAGACACGTTTTGCATGTGTTACAACAGCGTGGCTTCGTAATAAGCGTGCGAGTACTCGGCTTGCCTGTCAGCAGTCCAGACCTGTCTCCCATTGAAAATGTCTGGCACGTTATGAAGCGCAAAATATGAAAACGGAGATCCCGGACTGTTGAGCAACTCAAGCTGTGCATCAACCAAGAATGGAAAAGAATTCCATCTATAAAGCTTCAACAATTAGTGTCCTCAGTTCTCACTTGAGTGTTCTTCAAAGGAAGTGATGTCACACAGGGGCAAACATGCCCCAGTGAACTTTTCGTTGCAGGCATCAAATTCAAAATAAGTTGGGCATGTGGGGAACGTTTATCAGTTTGATCGTTAAATATCTTGTCTTTGTTGTCTATTCGATTGGCTATATGTAGAATAGGATTTCCAAATCAATGTTTTCTATTTTTATTTACGTTTTACACAACCTCCCATCTTCATCATAATCAAGGTTTTTCATGATAGAAGCAACGACGGTAGCATAGGTTAAAATATATGGTGCATAATTAAAACAAACTGCCTGGAAGAGCTTCCAAAGTGAGGCCTCGATCAGGTAGTTAATTGAAACATATTTGGGATCCCCAATCTTTTCAATAGGGAAGCGTGTTGCTTGGAAAATCTTTGGCATAAACGCTTGCTTACATATATATATATATATATAATACAAGGAGTGGGATCACTTAAATTAGACACCAGGCAATGTTGATCTTCTGTTTGTCCATTTTCAAGACAGAGGTCTGGAAAGTCTTAACACTCCTTGCTGATTTTCCTTGTCAGAGAGAGGTGTTGTTTTGTTTTAAAATTTTAGAGGGACGGCTTTGGAGGTAATTTTTGACTTACAAAGTATGTCATTTTGCATCAATATGATGAATTCATTTGTCAGATACAGTATGTCGATCAAGGAGTTTAAAACTTAACGATTAAGAGTTTTTCCAAGCATTTCCCTCTCATAAATACAAATTCATTTTAGTACTGATTCGTGCAATTTGAAATCCATGTGGGTTGTAGGGTGCTGTTGCATTATTTAGGATGGTATGCCAACTTAAGTGTTTAAGATAGGGCCCATCCACTGAGACTGCTATGATACCAAAATTAGACAGGTTCATCTATTGTTAAGCAGTTACATTCTCAACAGTTAACTCAGCGGCGAGAAAACAAACTCTACCAAGGAGGTGACGATGGCAGAACTTGGGATAGAAAAGGCATGCTCTCCATGGGCCTCATTGCAATGTTCAACGGGCCGGTGATATTCATGGGCATTGGTGTGGTGATGGCCACGGGGTGGGCGATATTCATGTGGGCTGTCGTGGGGATGTTGACGGAGGCGAGGTTCACAGGGCCCGTGATGGTGACAGGGTGCTGCAGGTTGACGGGGTTTGTTATGTTGACTGTGCTGGTGGTGATGTTCATCTGAGCAGCAATGGTGACTGGATTGTTGGCACTGCCGCCGCGGTTCATGGCCGAGGTGATGGCTGCAGAGTTGGTGACAGGCGTGGTCGCGGCGGAATTGGTGTGTACGTTGTTGGCATCTACAAAAAAAAAAAAAAAAAAAAAAAAAAAAAAAAAAAGAGCGAGAGAAAAAAAGAGAGAGAAGAGCCCAGTCACCTTGGTATGAATTTTCAGAACTTCAGTACAGTAAAGCCAACAGTCCAATCAGCTCCGTCGTTCTTTACCTGGGTCACTGAAAATGTAAATACATCATTTCAACGTTATGCCAACTGTCGTAATATTGGTGGAGAAACCTACCTTTGTGGGAGTTGTCAATTAGGACTTGGAAGGAGTTATTTAAAATCTCTCCTACCGTCAAATCACCTAAGGGGTAAATTCAAAAAGCAGGATCAATAGACTAAACGGCTAACTGATTATTTAAAAGCTGTAATTTTGAACATGAATACATTGTATAAAACATCCTCAGATCTATGTGCAGGAGGCTAGATGAACAGTGCCTGACGGTTAGTAGGGCTTAGTTTCGGGAAGGGACTGCATTGTCAATGTCAACAAGTTTGGCCCAAGCAGCGTCGATTGTTAGCTATTGGGGCATTTGTGCCACATTTTTATCTAGAAAAAAAAAAAGTGTGTGTGTGTGTGTGTGTGTGTGTGTGTGTGTGTGTGTTTCACTACCAATAGTTTCACTACCAATATGCCAATCTAATCATTCAAAAGATAACAGCCAGGTAGTGTGCATCGAGCCTGCATGATGGTCCAGTTTGTTGTTAATTCAAATAATCTACTGATCCTGCTTCATGAACTTCATCCTAACAATGACAAAAATTATAGATACTAGAAAAACAGAAACCCTAAATTTCACCAGTCCTCAGAGAAAACACAAGTCTTCATGGGGAAATGGTGCAACAGGACTAAAAACTGGCCACTTGTGTTGAGTAAACTTTCTAATGGTATGTTTACGAGTTTCTGCTATCAACTACAGGACTGGATTACCTTTTCGTGGCCCTGAGTGGTTCCACTGCCAGTCATTTATGCCTATTCAAAAATACAGACACATGAGGGGTTATAAAAACACAGGGCAACATTGCCATCATCTGGGGACTTTGGGTGGCACGGTTTTAAAGGTCCTTTTTTCCCCTCCCCAATCAATATTTTTTCTCTATCACTTTTTTTTTAAGAATACTAATATCCTATCATCGGGATTTGCAGGATAATATGGGTTGGAAATGAGCAGCATTCCCCTTTTCCGAGCTATTTGCATTGGTCAGAAGTAGATGAGTTTGTAACAGTCCCGTTTTTTTTTTTTTTTGCCATTAGCATTTATAAATATTCACAAATATATTTTTTACGACAACTGTCTTGTCCACGGCGTCTTTTATTCGTTCTACTGGGGTTTAGCAGGTGTGTTTATTAAGAGACGAAAATTGTTTGGGGACTATCCCCCACGTTCTAGTTGAGATGGTATAACCCAAGAGGCAAAATGACGCTTGCTACTGTTGTTGCGAGTTGCCATTTGTTCTACTAAACCATTAGTCAAACACTTTAATGTCTTCTGTCGTTATTTCACAAACAAAAATCTCTTTACTGTTACTAGTGTTAGTGCCTCAATATGGCTACGCTCGTGAAAGCAATACAACAAACTCAAACGCGTCTTTGTTCAATGTTGTCAACTAATATCCGGATTAATTTTATGCAAATTTTCCTCAATTCTCCAGAGAAATTTTCACAAAAATTTGAAAAACCCGGAATTCCGGGAAAATCCGGAGGACTTTCATCTCTGATTAACTAAAGAAGTTTGTTCCAAATGGGTCTCTGTTCTCATTAATTTGATATGGAAAGCTATGTTTGTTCAACAGGGATTATATGGGTGTCTTGTGGCCAACGTGTCTCAATGTCTTAAATATTTTCTGAAATTTAGCGGGCTGTCGCCAGAATTGCGCCCAACAACAGTGCACTCTGAGGCTGCCCCAAAAGGGCAACAGAACGGTCGCCATGGAGGTTTTTTTTTTTCACCTGCAAATTACCACAAATTAAAATCATACGTTCCTAATCCATTGTGCTTTTACTTCTATGCTGTTTGTTTCTAAGTTTGGGTGAATGTTTCTAATTGATCCATAAGCATCTCGAATTTGGAATACAAAAAGGCTCCTCCTGTTCCTGTTTCGTCTTAAATTTGTCGAACAAATCTCAGGCCTGGTATACGCATAGATTTTTCAAATCTTCATAGATGTTTTTTTCCTTTGACAGACCCCACACAAAGCATTCAACAGTTTTGTTTGTATTGTGTGTGGTCTGCTTCGATAATCTCAACATTTTTATTCTTTTTCATTAGACACTTGGCATTATTTTATTGTATTGCATTTGTCGTCTTTTTTGTGATTGTTTTAACTGTCTTTGTTTTAACCCTTTCAGGGACAGCAGTTACTAGAGTGGACAGCTATTCAAATGTTTTCTCTTATATTAATTAATCTTAATGTCACAGTTGTTCATCAACCACTACAATGGACCCTTATGTGTGTTGCCATCCACTGCCATTATTTTTTTTCATGCATAAAGACTAATAAAAATACTTGAGGAAAAAAATCCTGATGTAGGTTGTCATTATTTGTGCATGAAAGGGTTAATGTCTGATTTTTACTTAACGTACAGCATTTAGGATGCAACTATGGTTGGGTTGTTGTTAAAGTGATTTATAAGTGATTTATAAATAATGTGGAGCTACATTGAGTTGAGTTAGACACCCGCCCCAAAAATATCGGTTTGGGCATATTTGATTTGCTGCCGCTTCCTTGTTTGTGAGTTAATGGTTCTTCGATTGGCTTGAGTCCATTCATGTCACTTTCTATAGAGTCAAATGACGCAAGAGTAGTTGCCGTTCCCCTCATAGCACATGAAAATCCATCCATCCATATTCTGAATCGCTTAATCCTCACTAGGGTCGCGGGAGGAGCTGGAGCCTATCCTAGCCGTCTTCGGGCAGTAGGCAGGGGACACCCTGAACCGGTTGCCAGCCAATCGCAGGGCACACAGAGACGAACAACCATGCGCGCTCGGGACAGCAGTTACTAGAGTGGACAGCTATTCAAATGTTTTCTCTTATATTAATTAATCTTAATGTCACAGTTGTTCATCAACCACTACAATGGACCCTTATGTGTGTTGCCATCCACTGCCATTATTTTTTTTCATGCATAAAGACTAATAAAAATACTTGAGGAAAAAAATCCTGATGTAGGTTGTCATTATTTGTGCATGAAAGGGTTAATGTCTGATTTTTACTTAACGTACAGCATTTAGGATGCAACTATGGTTGGGTTGTTGTTAAAGTGATTTATAAGTGATTTATAAATAATGTGGAGCTACATTGAGTTGAGTTAGACACCCGCCCCAAAAATATCGGTTTGGGCATATTTGATTTGCTGCCGCTTCCTTGTTTGTGAGTTAATGGTTCTTCGATTGGCTTGAGTCCATTCATGTCACTTTCTATAGAGTCAAATGACGCAAGAGTAGTTGCCGTTCCCCTCATAGCACATGAAAATCCATCCATCCATATTCTGAATCGCTTAATCCTCACTAGGGTCGCGGGAGGAGCTGGAGCCTATCCTAGCCGTCTTCGGGCAGTAGGCAGGGGACACCCTGAACCGGTTGCCAGCCAATCGCAGGGCACACAGAGACGAACAACCATGCGCGCTCACACACACACCTAGGGACAATTTAGTGTGTTCAATGTCGGGTCATAAATATGAAAGCACCATAAATATCGGCGATAACTATGCAGCGACATCGGGGAGAAAAATGACATCACATTTATCGGTTCGTTAACAACAAATCTGGACCGCTAACAAGACGCGCCACAAATACACAAACATTGGCCTGGGTACTGTCACTTCAAGCGCATCCAGCACCAAGCCTTTGCTGCATGACATAGCTCGTCAGGATGGCGCGGCCAACAGCGAATCATTGTGGCCTTCTTTTTTTGTGTAATTTTCAATTTTTACTTTTATTTTACCCCATCAGTCATGTTGGAACGATGCTTGGACATAATGTTTTTATCAATGGCCTGAAAGTGCCACTCCAATTTCTCTCTTTCGGCCGACCAGCAAGCGCTGGTGGACTGACCAGCGCGACGCACTGGTCTGCCGGTTGCCTCAGTCCCCATCACCACCACACCAACCGGCAGTCGCAAAACCCCACCATAGTGCACCCGGCTTCAGGTTGGTTTTTAGGCGGAAGGGTCCTCCATCCCGTGGGTCATTCCTCAGCGCCGGGAAAAAAATGCAAGCACGCACCGGCGCACATCACCTGATTTCTCTCGGGCTACCCCGCCAACTGAGTCCATCGCCAAAAGAAAAGATCCACCCTTCACTCCGTATGGAAATACTTTTCTTACTTCCCTCATCATTTGTATACTTTATTCAGTTCAGAGTAGATGGACCTAAATGGAAACTGCTAGCAAGCTAGTTTTGCCAGATAGCGCCCTTGTAAGCACACGCGCGGTGAGGCATGTGACAGGTGTATGACTGGCTGACTTGTACATCAATCATCCATCCATCCATCCACCCATTATCCGAACCACTTATCCTCACAAGGGTCGCAAGTGACAAATTTCACAATGGATTCTCTGTCATAGTGACTTGAAAGGTGGGATTTCATGTATTGTGCACTATATATGAAATATAACATGTCAAAGAAACACCATATGAAATTGACATGATATTCATAGCAATACTTCTAATAATATAATGATCATGAAATGGAGATTCACGGGGTAGGAAGAGCCATATGTACACTTCTTCCTACTCTTTTTCAAACATGTACAATTTTAAGTATAATTCATTACCCACGAGTGAGTTGACGACAGTGTTGCTTTTATTTATCCTTTATGTTTTGTATTTTTTTTTTGCCATAACAAGTGGATTTATGTTGATTATGTTTTATTTATTTATTTCATGCATGTTGGGTAGTTTCTTTTTTAAAATTTCATGTTACTTCTCTGTTAATTAACACAAGGGTGAAGAGATGTGCTAATACTCACATTAACATTATTGGGATTTAACCCTATACCATAATTGTCACGTTGCATCTTATTCGACCTAATTTGGAACCGTAATCATGCTCGATCACCCTGGTTAGTTTGTGACAGAGGAAACTGCATGATCTTGGTCTTTTTTATGTTCTACAGCTATACATTACACCTGAGTATTGCAAAAGAATTAAAATTGCTACCTTATTTTTTGCATACTTTTGAGGGACAAACCAAACCAAATGCATACTTGTAGCACAGCAACTGCAGCATTTGTTTTTTGAGGAACACAAAAGAAATCATACATATTCTTTTTAAAATAAAATGTTAACATAACATCAGGAATGCCAATAATGATCATTTGATTGTATTTTCATTTATTAAATCATGGTAACTAAGTAGCCCATGGCTTCAAAAAATAAAAAAAAACTATGGATGTGGAGACAGTGCAAATACATGTGCTGGGACTGGATTGTATTCAAGATAGTGAGTCAAGTCAGAATGGAATTGTGAAATTTGTAGACAGCCTACCTTTATTGTTACATTGGTTGCTGAAGCTGGGCTGACCATGAGTCTTGAGGTGACTTGTGATGTAGGCAGCACTTAGCATTTTGCCACAAATGTTACAGGTGACTTTGCCTTCATGTCTGATCATGTGAGAGCGAAGACGGTCTTTGGTAGCGAAAGCAGATGTACAGGCCTAAAAGACAAAGAAACAAAAAGATACGCCCCCCCGCCCCTCAAATTATTACTGAAAATATGAAAGACAGAAGAAGCTCCTCGCATCCAATAAACATACACATATAAACTTACTTCAAATGAAACCTTATGAATACCGTATTTTACGCACTACGGGCCACACCAAAAAGTCTTCCATTTTCTTAAAAGCTCACCAAGCACCTTAAAATCCGGTGCGTCTTGGGTATGGTCATTCGGTAATACATCGACTCCAAGATGGCTCCTTCCTGGAGAGATGCTTCCAATGTTATAACTTGCTGTTGGTTCAGTGAACTGTGTCGCTGCTTTATTAAATAAGTTTATGTTGCAGCTCCGAAAAAAGGAGAGCTGTGGTGTTAATTTTTTAAAACGCACACTTTATGAATGTCTTTCACAGTCTCAACAAATACAGTTACGTCTGTCAGTCTCCTGCCTTTTCTTCTTCCTTTGACTCGAGAGGCGTTCATGACCACCTCCGAAAAACGTTAATTAACGATTCCTTCATTGTGATTTTATCTTGTGATTTCCTCGTTTGTGAATACAGTACACAACAAAGGAATAAATAACAAACACTTCTGAGACAGTCCAGTCTCCTACATTTTACTAACATCTGATCTTTCTATTGGAGCTATGCTCAAGGAAATGCCAAAATAAATTCTCTCGGGGGGCTATAGAAGTTATTTTGTGATTTCCCCGCTTGATTTTCTGTTTTGATGCATTACTGTATTTTTGATTTTCGTAGTTTCATTGAAGTAATCGTTAATTTACATTTTTTTGGAGGCGGTCGTGAACGCCTCTCAAGTCAAATGAAGGGCTGTGGCTCCATCTAGTGGATGCATTGTAGATTGCACCTCATAATGCGGTGCGTTTAATATATGAAAAAAAATTACAAAATAGACAATTCATTGAAGGTGCACCTCATAATCCAGTGCGTCTTTTCGTGCGGAAAATACGGTACATAAAAAAGCTGTGTTTTACGTTTTGTAATTAACAACATAATACATACATCTATGTAAACTCTTTCTTTTAAAGCAGGGGTGGGAGGAATTAAAATGAACTGATTCAAGATGAATATGAGGTTAGGGATGCATGGTAACTATCGGACCGATAATCATACAGCCGATATTGGGAGAAAAATGACTTCACCTGTATCGGTCCAGTACCAGTAAATTAGGCCGATATTGAAAGCTGCCTCAAATACACTAACGTTGTTTTGGTTACTGCCACTTTCAGAGTCCAAGCCTCTCCTGCATGAGATAGGCGCAAATACGGCGCCGCTGTGCGCAACTTCAGAAGTAGCAAGGAGCCATTGGTGAACACGGCTTGCCAGAGTGTTTTTGAACTAGGCCTCAAAGGCTGTTACCAAATTTCGCAATGTGGCGACAAAAAAAATGTTCAGTGGTACCTCTACTTATGAACGTCTCTTCATACAAAATTTTCAAGTTACGAAAAGCCTCAACAGGAAAATATTGCCTCTTGTTACGAAAGAAATTTCAAGATATGAAAGGTAAAAAAAAAATACAGTATGGTCTGCTAATCTCAGATCCAAGTTTCCTGAATACAACATAATTATAGCTGCTCTGCCATTGGCTACTACATGGCATCTTCCTAGCATCCCATTGGCTAAGAGAGACCTCTACCGTACGTGTCTACATGTGTAGATAGATAAATAGATAGAGATGTGTCTATGCAGCGTCCTTGTCATTCGCCCCTCGGTGCCTGAGGCGTAAATGTTTATCACCCAGAAAAAGTGTTCACCAGTCCGGCAATCGCTCACTATGTTGATGTTTGCCTTGGACATTTTCGAAGGATTGTTAAAAGCAAACGTCCTTGGATCAGTTCTTTACAAAACGCCAGGCAAAAACCATTTCTGAGAGAGAACATGAACTGAAGAGGGCAAAAAACGATGAGGACGCAGTTAAAAGTGAAATGACCATCATTTTTATTCTTTATTCTTTGTTTTTTACATTATTCAGAACTCTCATTTATTGTCCAATAATCTAATTGTAACATGTATTTATTACATATTTTGATGCATTTATGTGCCCGAGAAAACATTTATGTCAGAATTTTTGGGGGGCTTGGAACGGATTTGGGCATTTACATGCAAAACGCATCTCTTCTTACAAAATTTTCTAGTTAAGAAATTTGCTCCAGAACCAATTAATTTTGTAAGTAGACGTACCATTGTATTCCGCATTTTCCGTACTGTAAGGTCATATAATCTGATGCACCTTATATATGATGTAAACACTCTCTTTCTAGTCGCCATTGGATTGTTGTGCGGTCTGGCAGGCGACGTAGGCAACGGAAACAAAAGCGAGGCAGCCGACCGAGCCTATTGCTAAGTCATTCTGAAGTACATAATGTTGTGAATGATTTATTCTTTGAAGCATGACTATTCAATATATACTCAACACTTGTGGAGGTGATAACAGTAGTTCAGAAAGTAGCAAAACATGCTGCTTTGCTATGTATGTTGTCGTTGGCCACATTTTTATATCATGCTCCAATCCCGCTATAATAGTCGGAGGCAGGTTTAATGTTTTATTCTTTTGAGACGCAACAACAGATACATTTGTCCTGTATTTTCTGGATTATTAATTGCTGTTTTTTTTTTCAGTTTGGCCGGGGATGCAGTTTATACTCTGGAGCGATTTGTGTGTGAAATTATTAACACATTAGTATATCATTTCACATGTTCTATTCACATTCAGCCGCAAGAGGGCGCTCTATGCCTGTGTTGACAAATCAATGAGTCTGACTTAAGCGACGTAGAAGAGGAAGCGCCGCATGTTCTACCTCCGGAGTTGGCAGAGTTGTTTCAAACTGACACCTAGGGTGAAGATTTCATTGGATTTGCAGTCACACTGATGGTTTGGTAAACTTGTTAGCATGTTCTTTCTGCTATAGTTATCTGAATAACTCTTAATATTTTACATCAACATACCAGGTACGTTCTCAGTTCGTTGTTTGTGCGTCATGTAACGTTAGCATATCCTCGACTTATTCAACCTGTTGTTCTCTATTTTATTTTAACTTTAAATTGCCTTTCTAGATGACATGTTCCTGGTGTTGGATTACCGTATTTTCCGGACTATAAATCACAGTTTTTCTCATAGTTTGGCTGGGGGTGCGATTTATACTCTGAAGCGATTTATGGGTGAAATTATTAACACATTATTATATCATATCACGTTATTTTCACATTAAACCGCAAGAGGCCGCTCTAGACCTGTATTGATAAAACCACGATGAGTCTGACGTCGCTTACGTCAGACGAGGAAGCGCTGCATCTTCTACCTCTGGAGTTGGTGGAGTTGCTTTAAAGTGACACAGAGGATGAAGATTCCATTGGTTTTAGTGATTTGGAGTGACATTGATGGTTTGGTGAACTTGTTAGCATGTTCTTTATGCTATAGTTATCTGAATAACTCTTAATATGTTACTTGAACATACCAGGCATGTCCTCAGTTCGTGGTTTATGCGTCATGTAATGTCAGCATATCGTATACACTTATTCAGCGTGTTGTTTTCTATTTTATTTTTATTTAAAATTGCCTTTCAAGATGGCATGTATGTTCTTGGTGTTGGATTTTATCAAATAAATTTCCCCCCCAAAATGCGACTTATACTCCAGTGTGACTTATGTTTTTTCTTCTTTATTATGCATTTTATGGTTGGTGCGACCTATACTCCGGAGCTATTTATAATCCAGAAAATATGGTATGTCAAAGAAATTTCCCCCAAAAATGTGATTTATATTCCAGTTCGATTTATGTTTTTTTTTTCTTCTTTTTTTGCATTTTATGACTGGTGGGATTTATGCTGCGGAGCAATTTATAATCCGGAAAATACGGCAGTATACAAAAAAAGAGTAAGCAGTTATCTGCTTTGGTTTGGAGAAGCAGGAAACTATCGGTCGTTGGTAGGAAAAGAAAAAGTTATTGTGCAATCCCAAATCGAGATGTATTAAAAGTTGATAAGATAATCAAAGCCAAGACAATTCTAACTCAGGTGAATCGGGGTGACTAAAGACTATAACTCAATGTAAATGCTGAATTCCTGATATAGCGGCAATTAAATTGTCCCAAGTGGTCATAATGCATACACACATTTCCATTCACTACAAGAGTCCACACTTTCTCATGTTATTAAATAAGCAAAGTGTATCCAAATGCTTGAAGTGTACCATACAGACATAAAAGACACACAAGCAGGTACTATATATAGATATGCATGGTCACGTTAAATCTGATATAGTCACAAAAGGATCTTAATGATGATGGTTGACATCAGTTACCGTTACTTGGCACTTGAAAGGCCTCTCTGAGGAATGGACATGCTTGACATGACAGCTGAGGTGATCAGGCCTGCAGAGAACGATGGAGACATTGAAGACAATTAAAGGTGGATCAACAGCCTTATCAAACAGCAGGAACTGAAGGTGGCCGCCGAGATACTTTGGTAAAGCATATTGAGCGAGGAAACTCCGAATTTTCTTTCATTCGCATAACTAATGTGTGTTTCTGTGGTTGGTCAGCATGTAATTTTGTCCAAATCAAAATACTTGTTGGAGTCCCTCAAAATCGAGAATGCAGTTTCTTAAAGGAAAATACTGTTGCAATTAAAAATAATTACATATATACATATGAAATACATAATTTCAGTTAAAGCATAGTAATATTTTGATTATTATTATTTTAAATTGTGACTGCAAAATCATCTCCCCCAAGAATTTTTAAATTAAAACATAAAAATCTCTGTGAAAATACTTCAGGACCATTACATCAGGGAACCAATATTGCTTACCGTTTTGGCTATTTCCACAGTGCCTTTAATTTTTAATTTTCAAAGCTCTTTCTTCAAAAAAATCTGTCAGCATATGAATGGGCATTATTCTAGTAACAAAAAAACTAAAACAAATAACTAAGCCTACTGTATAAGATATATGTAGGATACAGACCAGGGTTCCTAATAAAAACTGTAATGCTGTGGTCAGACTCAAAGTAAACCTTCCACCTGAAGCCTACAGCTTCCACCTACAGCGGGGTGTCACGACTCTTGACTCCATTACACAGTAAGTCGATGCAGTTTGCATAGATAGGTGTGAATCCGTGCCGTGACAGTGGATACATTTAAGGCAGTGTTTCTCAAATAGTGGGCCCCCCCCCCCCCAGAAGGCTCCGTCAAGGGGGGCGCGTTTGACCTCGGGGAACATGCTTTTTTATTTTGATTTATTTTACTGTCCTAGAATAAAGTGCAGTTGCACCTCCACTACATTAAGGGGCAGTGTCGCTCTCATTAGCAGAGTTTGCCAATGTACAACACAGCCAGCTTCCAATACAGGGACAGAGTGACAAAGAAACAAGGAAGTTGGAGTATTCAGTAAGCTTATTTACTTCTTCACCGCTGTTGAACTGAGAACCAAGACAGCAGTAGCATTTAGCGTTAGTGAACGTTTGAGCACATTTGCCGGCCACGTTACTGAAGGGGAATGTTTGGGGTTTTTATTCTGTCAGAGGATTCAGAGCCTCTCTTGGTTGTGGTGTAGCTAGAATGAAGCAGCCACTGTACGTAGATAAGATGTCCTTTATTTGTCCCACACTGGGGAAATTTACAAGTATTAAATCGATTTACGTAGATCATATTCCTTAATCAAACTCCTGAGGGAAACACTGGGCAAAGCAACATTATGCCGTCGTTCTCAATGTAGGATAAAGTCTCACGCAACTGACTCCATGCCACCTGATATGTTTTTAAATATTCCTTGTGGATTTTATAAAGCTTGAAGAGTCTGCCACTGCTACGGATTCAGTCCTCTCTCTCTCGCTTATTAACACTTCGTTTATCGTTTGCAACCATTATCTTTAGCCTCAAGTAGAAATGGCTGTCATGTGGGTTACAATGGATATCACAAAGTCTATACATGGCGACATTCAAATGCCACGTTTATGTTGAATAAAGTATGAGTCTTTAGATCAGGGGTGCCCAATATGTCAATCGCGATTGACTGGTAGCTCGCAGACTGGTCCCAAATCGATCCCAAAGGATGTAGAGGGGAAAGAAAAAAGACCAACCCAAAGCATTTGAGTGTCTGTGTGCGTGTTATTAATATGATCTATTTTGTGCCAGTGCACACTGCACCCTTAGCATCATATCAGTCTCACAAAAAGTATTTAAAAAAATAAAACAAAAAATTAAAAAAGCAGGCGACCTTTAACCTACAGTGGCGCGTGACCTGCATCACCGCAAGTTGTTAGCGGTCAGCAATTTGGAATTGCAGCTTGCGATATTGCTCATCAGGGCATGCGTGTGTAAGTGCGTGCGTATGGGCGCGTGTGCGGTAACGGGTCGATCGCGGGAGGTTGGTTAATCAAAAAGTAGATCATTGGTCAAAAAAGGTTGGGCACCCCCGATTTAGATAAATCATTTCAAAAGTATTTTGACGAGTTTTTTTAACATACAATAACCTCATTGGATAAGTATGAACAACATCAAACTAATACTTTGGTGCAGCGCCTTTGGTTTTTGTAACACATCCTGTATCAGTGGAGCATATCCAGATATGGCAATCACTGACGGACGCCCGCATTGCTGATGACAGACAAAAACACGTCCCGCCTGTTATGTTTTTGTTCGAGAGGCTGAATACAAGCAGTCTTGCTTCCACTGACTATATTCCCGCTTCCTGTACAGTCGTTATCTATCTGCACCAAAGAGTTGGAACCCACCAATGAATCAAGAAGAAGGGGAAGAAGATAAGCATTTATAGACAGGAGTAGGAGGGCAAGCAACTTGGGTTGGATTCTACCCTTGGTCACAATGCGGAGCGGGATTTTGGTTAAGGTAAGCCATTTTGAACTTTAAGTGAAAACCTTTGGGTGTTTTGGCAGTTAAAACAGCAGCAGGCAGCCATGCTCCTGCTCGACTTAACAGTTCCATCGACTGGCAAGTAAGTGTACATATGTGAAGTGTGTGTGTGTGTGTGTGTGTGTGTGTGTGTGTGTGTGTGTGTGTGTGTGTGTGTGTGTGTGTGTGTATGAAGCTCTTTGGGCAACCAGATGTAGATACAGTACATTGAAATATCTGTATAGTGGACTCCATTTACCATTTTAATCAAATTTAACTATACAGTAATGTTTTTTTTTTTTTTTTGAGGGGAGACTGATTATAGACGGACTGACAGACCTGTGAAATTTACTGACGGAAGCGCAGTTAATATATGACAGATGGATCGATTACACTTTGTTTCAGCTTGAATTGATGACGGACTGACCATGACGGACGGGTGCCCAAGCTGCTGATGAATGAAAAAAATGTAAATTTCCCACCTCTAAGTCAATGCATCACTTTCATCTCAGGCTTTTTAAAGTACATTTTATGGAGTTTCTTTTGAAAATTGGCAATGAGACAATTTATAATTTTACAATTTTTTCCCCCCCAAAATTAAATCATGCAAATTTTTCGAATGTGCTTCTCTGCATCGTTACCCTACTGATCTGTGATTATTTTAGCCACGATAAATGATTAAAACTTTGGTTTTCATCTCTATTTGCACACACCCTATTTTTATGTCTGTATTATATGAAAATGGTGACTGATTCGGCTATAGTAGTCTTCAGTGTAGTGTATTCTTTACTGGCATTTGATATACTTTTATTTACCGTATTTTCACGACTATAAGACGCCATTAAAAGTCTTAAATTTTCTCCAAAATGGACAGGACGCCTTATAATGCGGAGCGCCTTGTGTATGCGCCGAGTTCCAAAGCCTGACTGAGAGCCGACACGCTGTTTATATAGAGAAAAGGCGGAAGTGAGTGAGGACAGGCATGCGGCGAAGAAGTCCGCCAATCAGTGAAGGATGGGCGTATAATATATATATAGAGAGAGAGAGAGAGAGAGAGAGAGAGAGAGAGAGAGAGAGAGAGAGAGAGAGAGAGAGAGAGAGAGAGAGAGAAAAAGGCGGACGTGAGTGAGGACAGGCATGCCGCGAAGAAGTCCGCCAATGAGTGAAGGGTGGGCGTGTAAGTGGACGCAACAACGAGAGGGAACCCGGCGTTTTTGATGGATTACCGGTACTTGCACAATTGTTCAATTCGGATACAGAAGATGAGGACTTTGATGGATTTCTGGGTGATGATTGATCGAAAAACGTGAGTACATTGTAAGATGGCTAAATAAAGTACAACCGAACTCAGTTTTGCTTCCGTTGCCTTTTTAAGAATGCGTTTTTAGCGTGTATCCGTATGTCTTAGCATGCTACCGTATGCTTCAAGCTAACGTGTTTTTAGCGTGCGTGCATGCATGCCGTATGTTTAAGCTGGCGTATGTTTTACCATGCCTGGCTGCGCCCAATAATACAGTGCGTTTTGTGTATGTGTCAAATACAGAAATAGCACTCGTTACTGAGACTGCACCCAACAATATGGTGCGCCATATGGTCGTGAAAATACGGTAATATGCTCAAATGTGTTTGGATGTCTTTTTGATTAAAAAATGAGCATCTACATACCTGGAGAATCCTTTCCCACAAACAGAACAAATATAAGGCTTGTGAACCCCGCCGTCATGGGAGCGCGCATGATACGTCATTCGATCCTTCCTTTTGAACCTCTGATGACAGATGGGACACTCAAACGGCTTCTCATCAGAGTGCGACAACTTGTGGCGATTCAGGTGATAGACATCCCTGAAAGCCTTGCCGCACATTTCACAGCCGTGATTCTTTTTCACAGGTTTTGGGGGTTTCTTGGGGATGTTCTGCTGCTGTTGGTGTTGCATCGGGGTCATGATACTTGTGCCCGTTGCTGTTGATGTGGTGGCTGTTGTCAAAATACCAGCTACAGTAGTAATGTATGACGGGTTTCCACTGTTATCACGAGGTACAGTGGATATGATTGGCACCATGGTGGGGGCTGGTTGTGTCTTCTTAGGCCGCGAAACCATCTTAATGCCGGTGTGGCATGACTCGTGCCGCCGCAGGTGGTAGCTGTCCCGGAAAGCCTTGTTGCAATAGCCGCAAATGAATGGTGTCTTGGATTTAGGCTCTTTTTTGACCACAGCAAGTGGAGGTCCTCCACCACCTCCTCCACCAGTCCCGCTGGCCACATTGTCTTTCAGCAGTTCTGCAGCACTGACTGGTGGTTTCTGGTCCAACACTATGGGCAGCACTGGTTTCTGATCAGGCGGCTCCGTTCCAGAAGTCAGCAAAGGCAAGAGGCTGTTCCCGGCTAATTGGTGCTGGTGGTGGAGCGCCTCATTGGCCTGCTACAATGAGAAAAACAGAGCAAGAGATTGATTTTTGAGTCAAACGGAATAGAAAACCAAGGATGTCTGCATTCAACGAACTGAAGTATCGGAATATGATGTGCAAAAAAAAAAAAAAAAAAACTAAATTCGCTGGTCAGTGTGGCGCTCAGTTTGACAGTGGGAAAACATGAAAACCACATCACAGTGAGCACATGAGTTAGAAATGTTTCATTCAAGAGGAGACCGGGGTAGGAAGAAAACAGACCGCTGTCACCAAGTAGAATCTGGTGTATAATATTGCAGTGTCTCAAGTGAGCCCAGTCCTCTCAAAAGTAACCGTGTTGCAGCAATGATGAATTTGCTTGACCAATGAGTGGTTTATGTCATCCCATAGTATTGGTTCAAGAACTATAAAGAGCACTTTGTAGGACCTGGTTTTCAAAGTGAAAAGGGCAAGATGAGCTACATCAGGCAGAATAGAAGCATGTTAAGGAAAAAGGGCAACGTGTGCATGTGTTTGGGCATTGGGAGATTTAAAAGCACCCAAAAAATGGAAACTCTGGGGCCATTATCACGGTATTTATCATATCTGAGGGTAGTAGTCTTTGGGTACTCCGGTTAGGTGGGCAAATCAAAAGTAAAAGCAACTAAAATAAATAAATACAAAATGCAAAAAAGTACAAGAATGGCGGATGGCAGGCTAGATGACAGCGTTATTTTTTTTCCCCACCGGCAAAAAAAAAGACCAGGGCATATTTGTGGGCACATTGGGAACAGAACAAGACTGCAAATGGACAACGTGGATCCACAGAATGCGAACAAAAGAAAAACAGCACAATGTTCAGGAAAAACTCAGATTTCTCAAGTCAAATCAGTGATTGCAAACCAATATTGTACAGCCAATGCAGGGTAAGGTCATTTTAAAACAATTTCTCAATCTGAAATGCAAACATTTCTTTATACAGTCATACCTCGGTTTTCAACCATAATCTGTTCCAGAAGGCTGTTCGAAAAGCGATTTGTTCGAAATCCGAAACTATTTTATTAGCCCATGATTAGGGGGTAATACACTATGCAGAAATAATTTAAAAAGTCAGATTTGCATAAATCACAACACATCTGCTCACAATGAACGCTACACGAGGAAGCGTCACTTCCTCGTGTAAGGAAGCTGAGAGGAGTCGAGTGGCGTATTTAGTTTTGCTTGTTTGGTCGAAAACCGGTTTTCGGTCGTAATCTGAGGCGTAAAAATTTCGAATTTTCTGGTCGAAAACCGATTCGGTCGAGAACAGAGACGTTCGAAAACCGAGGTTTGACTGTACTACATGTGATAATACTGATAAATACGAAGTTACTAAAACGTGATCAAACATTTTCATCCCATTTTATCTCTACCCCCCATACTAATCAATTCCAAAATGTCCCGAATTAAAACCCTTGATGGATTGACATAAATAAAAATTGGACATGGTGCAGGGATACATTTCAGTGTATGGTCATGATGATGCAGAGAAACAGTACCGCAATTTTAATTATAGTACCGCAATTTTAATTAGAGTACTGACAAAAAAAAACATAAAAAAAACAAAAAAAAAAACCTTCCTCCACTAAGGACCGGGTACAAAACAAACAGACACAATACACAGGGCACTTGGCGGGTTGGTCAGCACAACAGCGGCTTTTGAAACAATCTATGTACAGAGGACATCTTAAGTCCGCAGCTGCTGGCAGGCATTGTCCAATTGGTCATGGCAGATTCCCAGTGGGATAGATAGAACAGACGGCAGGAGCTTGTATGAATATTTTGGCAAGAGAAAGGAGAAATTCACATTGTAAGTAGCTGGTTTACAACTGGTCAGCTCAGAAACGCAGCGTTTCAGCAAGACTAGTTTATTGTTGTTTTTTTTTTTTTTTTTTAATTACCATAGGGCAAGGTTAAAGACCTGACCCTTGGCTTTTCAGGTTCAGCCAAGCATCGCAACACGGTCGGCCAAGCAGGGGAGATGTAGTTTTGGCGGGGGGAGCAGAACCCAATGTGCTCCGTTTTACCCCACTGTGTTCTTTTATGTACAACACAAATGTGAGCCCTTATGTGTTTGCAGCCTGAGTGGGGTGGGGAATGTTCAGCTGCCACCCGTACCCCTACTTCGGACAAGGAGCCGTGCTAAGTGTTTTAGCGTGGCGGAGAGACTCTGGGGCTGTCACACATTGTCAAATCTCTTTTGTATTTGCCACACTGCAGTACTTTGACAAGAATCATGACAGCAATTAGCATTTTCTGAGCATATTTATTCAAAACAGAGAAAAACCTGCTGTCCCACAACACTACTCAGACGGTTTTGATACAAATTTGCTGTGAAGGGTGAAATCCCTCTTTCAAGATAAATGGGGGGGGGGGGGCAGAGAGAGAATGGAATGGAAAGAAACAAAATCACCACTGTCCAATGATTTATTTTCATCTGAAAAAGGTTTTTATTTGCCCCAAAAATGAAAAAAAAAAAGAAATGCTGACCATTGGATAGTGACAATACGCAAAACCAACTTGCACGAACGCACGCGCACACACACAGGCACACACACACAAAACCATTACTCTTTCTCCATTGTCTCTCCCAAACTGCCTCATCAGCATCGTTCTTAAAATGTGTCCATCCACACAATTTCTTCATGTTTGTCTTATTTCAGCCAATAAGTCAAAAAGTTCAAGCATAAATGTTGAAAAAAAAAAAAAAAAAACAAAGTTACAGTTGTATCTAACAATTAAAAACACCATCAAAATGTCATGCTCTTTAAGTGTGTATAAGTTGGGAACAGTGCTAAGATTTCTTGTGATTTGTTTCATGTACAGGTTGAAACAAGGCACGGCCATTTGACTAAACAATTGCGCAATTTATAAATATACTATGCATGCATAAACATTATTTATAAAAATCATAATTTAAAAAGGGATGGATAATTGGTGTTTAACGCTCTGAATTTCTGTTTCAATGCCAGTGTTATATGAAGCAGAAGAATCAGAGGTCTGGATGAATTTTTTGTACTGGTCGCACTGGCGCGCTGAAGTTTGTTTCACCAAAATAGTTTACCGCATCACATTCACAGAGCTGCCAACCGAAAGAAATTCATTTGCTGAACTATTTTAGTTTTCCAAATTTAAAAATTCTGTCAAGAACATCATAGCAGGACTGCGTCCAGGAGTGTTTCACAGTATATATTTAATGCAAATGCTTCAAATAAATAATCACGCAAAACTTAATTTTCAGTGACATGTCAACAATGCACACAACACACACATACAGTATAAGCACACACACATTTTTATATGCCAGTGCAAATGGTTATTTTCATGTGAAGACATTTTCAAGGGCCAAAGCAAAAACAAATCAAAATATCACTCACCATAGCAACACTTCAACGAGCTGTGGATGTTTGTATTCCAACAAGTATTAATTACGATTATGACACTATTACACAGTGCAGTGTCAGAGTGTTTGTCATCCATTCATCCACTGAACTATTTATCCTCACTAGTCTGCGCTGTATTGATTATCCAGGTTTCCCGCTCTTCCACTTGCTTTTTATTTATGGACCTTTTAAGGGCTAATTTAGCCATTTTTAAGGACTTTTTCCCCATTCAGCAGGGGATTAACAATAGCCTTGTTCACACGGCACACATTTGGTCCGACGCTGCACCGAAATATTTTGTTGCGATGTATTTTACACCGGAGCAAATTTTGTGGAGCGTTCACACGTGCAAAGCCGCTGAGCGTGACAACTCCGGCGCTGCGTCGAAGCAGCTCCACTTGCGGTCACACGTGCAATTTCTGCTCCGGACCAAAACGACAGGAATGCGGAAGTAAAACAGGTTCGGGTCGGGCTTCTCTCTCGCGGACTTTTATTTATTTTTCTTTTAATAAATATTACCAAATTGTTTGTTTTAAAACAAGTATTCCTTAGTTTAGTATCCGCACATTGTTTTAGTATACATTTTTTAAAACATATATTGTGGCAGTCATCAGGAGCACACACGATTGACTGTAATCACGTCTTTATTCCACGACTGCCGACAAGTGGATCTATTCTGAACAAGGACAGAATAGTGTCCACCATAATATTTATTAAAAGAAAAATACATAAAAGTCCGCGAGAGAGAAGCCCGACCCGAACGTGTTTTACTTCCGCATTCCTGTCGTTTTGGTCCGGAGCAGAAATTGCACGTGTGACCGCAAGTGGAGCTGCTTCGACGCAGCGCCGGAGTTGTCACGCTCAGCGGCTTTGCACGTGTGAACGCTCCACAAAATTTGCTCCGGTGTAAAATACATCGCAACAAAATATTTCGGTGCAGCGTCGGACCAAATGTGTGCCGTGTGAACAGGGCTTTAGAGTCGAGGAGATGTCGGCTAGTTATACGAGTACAACCTAATGTATTTTTTTCAGTCATCACATTGTGTAGTTGGGCGCACCATAGAGCCTGGAGAATTCAGACTTCAGAGTTCAGGACATACAAAGCAAAGGAAAAATAAAAGATGTATAGTGCTCCCTTGAATCTTCTCAAATGACTAGATGCAAACTGACCGATTTGCAGATTTTGGGGGGAAAATCAATCCCACTAATATTGTTTTTTTTTTTTTTTTTTTTTTGTGCACAGGCCAAAGCCCTGTCTAATATAAAAGGAGTACTAATTTACTTTGGTGGCATCATGGTGCCAAAGAACTATGTTGAACTCGGGGGGAGCTTCATAAATGCTTTGCCATGATGCTGTGGCATCTATACACAATTATGAACATTTTAGTGGAGGCGTGAAAGGCTTGAAGATTTTGGCTTTTCACTCCAGGGCTGCAGGGACACTAGCTCAACTTCTCATACCTGATGTGTTATTCCTCAGACCGTAAAAAAAACTTGAGACTGCTTCAACAGCAATGTTGACAGTTGCAAACAGTGATGGGCACGTCAGTGAACCTCCGTCATTCGCTGGCAGCGGACCCGTGAGTCCGTCATCAGTCCATCATTATTTTTAAAATACTTCTTTCATGACTAAATTACATTTTTCCACCTCTATTTTAAAACAGTAAATAAAAACTGTCTCCAAGATTAACGGCACACAATATTTACAGTATTCTTATTGAAACAGTCTGGTCCACTTTAAACACAAAATAGATGTTAATTCTTACATTATAACTGCTCCTCCTGTGTCTCTTCCCCAAATTTGCCCCTTGCTTCCGTCGGCACTTATTCCAACGCTGTTTCAAAGTTACCATCAGTCTGCCAGTGAAAACGCGAGTCTTTCACTGCCAGACCCACAGACTTTCCGGTGGCAGGTGTAAATGCCCACCTCTGGTTGCAACAAATTTTTCATGTACAATGAACACATTTTGCCACTCGACTGAAAATGTCTTTACATGTGCTTAGGTGAAAACCAATCATGACTCATGCAACGTTTGCAAGCTGGTTGTTGCCTGACCCGAGTACATGCGCATTCTTAAAAGTTTTAATTGTACATGAGAAATTGTGGAGTTGAAAAATAATTAAGCTATCAAATTCATTTTCACTGCTTAAAATGGCAAAATTAATAAAACATTCATTTAAATATGTATTTTCTTGTCAAAATGTACCAGAAGGAGAGCACCTGGAATTAACGCATCCACAATTGTGAATACCTTCTGACACGATAATGTGACGGCCTTCATGTAAATATTGTTTAATTAGGAGTCACCAGTCCATCTGTGTGTTCCAAAAGTAAATATTTTCCACATATTAAGTTCAATAGTCCTGACTCCAGTTGATCACCAAACCATGTTGTGATTGAAAAACCTGCATTTATAGGTCATAATCGTGATATCTACCGCACAACTTTTTAGGCAATCTGTGGTATCTGACTATGTCCAGGTGAGGTGACAAAACAAAAGTGAGCAGTCGCGGATAACACTTCCAGCAACTGATGCAGATTTAAAAAAAGGAATTATTTCCAAAATAAGACACTAAATGATCAACCTTTGAATCGTCCTTGTCTCGAAAGCTGACACACTAGCCACCACTGTTTAGATTTGCATTGGTCACAAAAAGTATTTTTTGTTGTAGTTTTGAGAGGACACAATGACGGCAGAGACCAAAGTGTAATTGGCCATGACCATACACAGTGAAATATTTATAAATAAATCATATATAATGTAAATAAAAAATAAACACATATTTTATCTTCAAATTCAGAAGTTTCCTGCATGCCATATTTTAACTTGTGATAAAAGTGGCCGGTATCTTAACACTATTCATAAGTTTAAACTTGGAACAAGTCTTTATTGATAACTTGAGGCCCGATGAACTTTCAAATGACCATCGATATCTACTTATAAACAAAAAAATCCGTCTGATGTAATGGCATTCAAAAGTGACATTTTTTATCACTTGTTAACGCGATGCTCCTGCTGTTTGTGGTAACACCCGAAAGTTTGCAATGGTTGCGTATGAGCTTTGGGCAATGGTTCCGCGTGCTACTTATCTTAGCCTTGAGTTTACATTGTTATCGGCTAATGTGGTTTGTGGTAAACCCACTTTCTACCATGCTTCCTATGTGGGCGGACGCTAACCAACGAAACCAAATCATTCACTGAAATCCGTTAAGTCAATTGTGAAGGAGATAGCTGCAGTGTTGAGGAGAAATGAAGCCGAATGGGCTAAACCATTAGCCGACAGGCTTAGCATGGCTGCATGGAAAAGCAATTGGCTCGGGCTACTGAGTTAGCGCGCGCGCACAGTAGCTAAGTGAAGATTTCATGTAAGATCACCGTTTCAAAAACCAAATGCTGCGAGTCAGTTGTCATTAAACCCACTTAAACGAGGTGGTCTTTCGGTCATCTGTGCATTGGGTAAATGCGGCTCTTCTTCGATACAGTAGTTTGCTGCTGGACGGGCTAGCTAGAAAGCTAACGCTAACACCTTTGTTTTGCTGGACACACTCCACTTCAGTTTCAAAAAGCAATACAAAACGTCACTACTTGACTAACATCATTTGCAGCGATGTGCGGTGAGCATGCATTTTCTCGGACACGCGTAAGAGTTGTATTACTTACTTGAAATAAAAACGTACTCCAGCTCGGTTCCATTGCAACTCTTATGCTAAAACCTGCAGGAAACCAAGAAGGAATCCTCAACAAAGCAGCCAGCTAAACATGGCAGCAACTTCCTGCCATCCCGCGGGCTGAGCCAAATAAAATTGACCAGCTTGTCTGGATTTGACAAATAACGTTTCCGTTTTTGACACAATATTTTTTCCAGACCAAAATTAAATTAGGATCATTTTATGTACGAAAATTTAAACTATCTATACGGCTACGAAAATTGTCGCCTTCATGTGAGTTTGAGTTTTATATAGGAAAAGTCAATAAATGAGAATAAAATTAATTGTACACAGTTTGCTTATGTGTGTTTCTATGGCCTATCCCTGAGCGTATTAATGTTTGTATGCACAATTATGAAAAATGGAAATTGAGCATTTGTGGGTCATTATAGAATTGGAGGAGGTTTTACATCCCATCCATCAAATTCGAAGTAATTCACATACAAAATACGTACTAAAACATGCAATTTCTCAGTTAAAAAAAATCCTAAGAGATAAGAATGCTTGAAAATATTTTTTTAAAATACCAAATAAGTCTGGAGTACCCCATAAAATGCAATTTTTCTGACCCCGCCCTACATGACCAAATTTAATCACACATAAAACACTTGAAATAACATTTAATTTTTTTTTATATATATTTCATTGCTGTCTATTGCAACTGTGGGGACATTTATTTCAATAAACTTAAGATTGTAAATGATAATTATTATTCATGGTAGGTGTGTCCCACAACATGCACGGACCCTGTTACCATAACCTGTTTAGCGTTGTAGAAGAAGAAAGCAGGGAATCACACGATACGTTGGAATTGAAATCATCAAACAGTTTTCCAAATGGACAGAGCAAAGCTATGCCCTCTCTTCTATTTTTCAAATTTTTATGAAATAGCCTTGATTGAATGTCTAACTCTATCTCATGCAACCCTGTTGGACACAACAGGCATAAGTTTCGGTCCCGATAAACAGTGTGAGAACAACCCAGTTGCACGCATAATTGAGCCCAGCCCATGACACTAACAAAGACTTGAACTCCAGGAGGAGGTGTCGGAGTTTGGGAAAAGACTGAAAAGTCATTATTCTGGTGCTGACAAGTGTTTTGTTAACCCATGTGTGGTAGAAACACTCGAGCAGTGGTTCTTAACCTGGGTTCAATCGAACCCTAGGGGTTCGGTGAATCGGTCTCAGGGGTTCAACGGAGCCTCCGCCATGGAGGTGACACACCCGACTCAACATGTCATTTAGTTGTGATACACCTGCTTAGCCATCACTGGCTGGTTCATTTTGTGCATCGTGCAAAAACGTATACTTATGTCTTGAAATGTTATTGAAGTTTTTTTCAGTTTTTTAATGAATGTGTTTTTTTATATCTTGAATTTGTAAAAAAAAAAATCATTTTTATTTTTCACTAATGAAGGGTTCAGTGAATGTGCATATGACCTGGTTGGGTTCGGAACCTCTAACAAGATTAAGAACCAATGCACTAGAGTGTCCTACCGAAGAATTATCCATGCATCCATTTTCCGATCCGCTTTATCCTCACAAGTGTCGCGGGGGTGCTGGAGTCTATCCCAGCTGTCTTTGGGCAGTCGGCGGGGGACACCCTGAACCGGTTGCCAGCCAATTGCAGGGCACACACAGACGAAAAACCATCCACGCTCACACTCACACCGAGGGACAATTTAGAATGTTCCATTAACCTGGCATGCATGTTTTTGGAATGTGGGAGGAAACTGGAGTACCTGGAGAAAACCTACGCAGGCACAAGGAGAACATTCAAACTCCACAAAGGGAGGCCAGAGCCGGAATCGAACCCTGCACCTCTGCGCGCAAAATCTGTACATGCCGGCAAGACCAACCAAATTATGAGACATTTTTTGCATGACTTTTCTCATTGTCATGGGGGTTGGTGAAGCAACAAGAGGTGGCTTGCCCAGGAAGAAAGTCTAGCCAGGACTGCCTCTGTCATTGTACCAGGCAATGAGGTTTTTGACTGGTGAGGTACTACTTTATTGGTGTTTGATTTAAAAATATGAAGTGAAAATACAAGATTAGCCTGCCTTTCAATTTTTACCTTTGTTAAAACATGTCCCAAATAAGGACAATATTTCAGTGCTCCTTCAAATGGCTGCAAGGAACGTTTCTGGGTCTCAAGGTCGCTCATCCTTGACCTTTTCCTCCTCCGGGACTTCTACCATGAGGATTGGGCATGGCCTGATGTCTCATTATTTATTGAGTTGCACAGTGATCTCTTGTCAGAACATTCAGCTTTCTTCCATGTCTTCTGCATCCAGCGCTGCTCTGTGTGGTTACTTCATATTTTTTGGGATATAAAAACTTTTTCATTGACTTCTGTGTTTGCATCTGGGACAAATTCAGATCCTCATGTGACACAATTCAGTTTTTGATTTACCTATCATGCATGTTTTTGGAATGCGGAAGGAAAGGGGAGAACATGCAAACGCCACACAGGAAGGTCAGAGCCCGGGTTTGAACCCACAACCTCACCATTGGGAAGTGAAAGTGCTAACCAGTAATGTTTTTTTTTTTTTAAACAACTAAAAAACAAATGGATAAAACAACATAATAATAAATACTAGCATTAAAAATCATGGAGGCGTACAACATATTTCACTGTAGTTATGTTTTTGGTACAGTTAAGGATATGAGTATTAACATAAATTGTGTTATGTATCCAAAAAAGAGAAATACGAAAGTTGAATATCTTGGAGAGAAAAAAAACATACTGATTTCCGGGAAGTGCTTTTTTTCCCCTCCGTTAGGTTCTGTTTTACCAATAAGTCCATAATGTCTCCCAATTTGCCAAACCATGGTTATAGAAAGAAATTCATCCATCCATCCATTTTCTGATCCGCTTTGCTCTCACAAGGGTCGTGGGGCATGCTGGAGCCTACACCAGCTGTCTTCCGGCAGTAGGCAGGGGACAGACACCCTGAACCAGTTGCCAGCCAATTGCAGGGCACACATAGACGAACAACATTCCGTACCTACACCCACACTTCGGGACAGTTTAGAGTGTTCAATCGGCCTGCCATGCATGTTTTTTTGGAATGCGGGAGGAAACCGGAGTACCCAGAGAAAACCAACACAGGCATGGGGAGAACATGCAAACTCCCCACAGGAAGGCCGGAGCCAGGAATGAACCTACAAGCTCTGCACTGTGAGGTTGACGCGCTAACCACTGGCCCACCGGGCCGCCCGAAAGATATACAAAAATGAAAAAAAAGACGCATTCCATATCAAGTGACTGTGCAATAAAGGCCTTGACAAGCAGGTAAGTCAGGGGTGTCAAACTCATTTTTGTTGCAGGCCACTTTGGAGTTATATCTTCCTGCGGAGGGCCGTTAAGACAGTGAAACCGAACAAATGTTTCATCATCACATCGCATTATTACTTGTACACACACACAAAAAAAAAAAAATGATGACTCACTAGTTTTGAAATCAGTCAAGTATTTGTTAAATTATTGCTCAAGTGAGTGTAATCAGGGTAAAGGAATTATTGCAAAATGTCACCGTTATTTATTACGTATGACAATTTGAGATTTCGGTACAGATTTAAGCAAGGATCGTGGAAGTTGACACAGATAATTTGCTTTCGTGGGACACCTAAAATGATGTGGCGGGCCGGCTGTGGCCCCAGGGCTGGGACTTTGACACCTGTGAGATAAGGGTTTGAATTGGAGCAACTGTCAAATTTCAAAAATCTGATATCTGTGTAAGACCTCTTCTCCACATAACAGTGCCAAATGATCCAAATCAGTCTTGTTCAGTCTTATAAAGTTTGATACCATATTCACCGTTACAATCACTTTGGATTTACAACAAGTACTTTATTCAAATGGCCAATGCTGCAATTGTATATTAAGTGGCTGTGGATGAAAACACACAGATAGACAATATTGTAGATCCTGAAAACCCAGTTGTTTTTAATACAGTTACATAATTAAAGTATGAGCTTTATTTTACCAGCTAAACACAGGGCTTTTACAAAACCTGGCATTGTTTCTTTCCAGCTCGTTCCATACACTGTTGAACTGTTTCACCATTCCCAGCTTTTCAGAAAAGGAACCCCCTCATTGTGTTTTGCACTGTACATTGCCTGCCTTTGCAGCCACACCGCACAATGCCAGTTTCAGACGGACTGGTTCATTATGTGTGGTCAGCCTATTCTCCCTTACCAGGCTCAACGGGATTCATCTCATCCAAACTTGAAGATTTAAAAAGCCATGAAAATGCATTGCAAAGCTTAGTTACAAGGATTTACTTGGGAAAGTTCGGGCTTACATGAAGGTAAGTTAAACCTTCATTCTGCTACTCATTATTTGATTTGCCGAGTTAAGCATAACTGTTTCTGCAAATAGCAACTACAACCCCCAATTCCAATGGAGTTGGGATGTTGTGTAAAATCTAAATTAAAAAGAGAATCCAATGATTTGAAAATCCTTTTCAAACGATATTCTTTTCAATACACTGCAATGACAAGATATTTCCTGTTCAACATGATGTATATTATTGTTCTTTTGCAAACATTCTCTCATTATGAATTTGATGTCTCTAACACATTCCAAAAAAGCTGGGACGGAGTAACCAAAGACTGAGAAAGTTGTGGAATGCTTAAAAAAAAAACAACAACAACAACAATGCCTGTTTGGAACATTCCACAGGTGAATAGGTTAATTGGAAGCATGTGAAGCATAATTGCGTGACAAAAAGAGCATCTGCGATAGACTGAGGTTCATAACTGTGTAAACAGCTGTGTGTAAAAATAGTCCAGAAAGTTGAAGAACTATGTTTCACAATGTACAATTGCAAGGTATTAAATGATTTCATCATCTGCAGTCCAAAATATATTCAAAGATTCTGGAGAATCTGGAGAAATCTCGAAACATAAGCGGCAAGACCAGAAACAAACATTGAATGCCCATGACCTTTGATTACTCAGGTGGCACTGCATTAAAAAATTGGCATCATTGTGTTTCCATGTTTGCTTTGGAACACTTCAGAAAACCTTTGTCAGTTTGAATAGTTTGTCGCTACATCTACAAATGCAAGGTCAAACGCTACCATGCATGGCAAAAGCCATAGATCAGCACTATCCAGAAACGCCGCCGGCTTCTCTGGGCCTGAGCTCATATGAGACGGATTGATGCAAAGTGTGCTTTGGTATGACGGTCTCACATTTCAAGTTGTCATGGCTGTTGTACCCTTCTGGCCAAAGAGGAAAAGGACTATTCGGATTGTTATCAGCGTACAGTTCAAAAGTCAGCGTCTGGAATGGTATGAAGGTGTGCTAGTGCCCGTGGCATGGTGAAGGCATCATAAATGTTAAAAGGGTACACTCAGGTTTTGGAGCAAATGAAGCTGCCATCCAAGCAACACATTTTTCAGAGATGTCCCTGCTCATTTTGGCAATACAATTATAAGCCACATTCTGCACATTACAACAGCATGGGTCCGTAATAAAAGAGTGAGAGTTCTAGAGTGTCATGCCAGCAGTCCAGACCTGTCTCCCATTAAAGATGTGTGGCACATTATGAAATGCAAAATCTGACAAAGGACACCTTGCATGGGTGAGCAACTGAAGCTGTACATCAAGCAAGAATGGGAAAGAATTCTGCCTACAAAGCTTCAACAATAAATGTCCTCGGTTCCCAAATGCTCATTGTGTATAAAAGGAAGGGTGATGTACCACAGTAGTAAACATGCCCATGTCCCAGCGTTTATGGAATGTGTTGCAGACATCAAACTCGAACTGAGAAATATTTGCAAAAAACAACGATCACATACAGTATATGAGTTGGATTATTGAGTATCTTGTCTTTGTAGTGTATTCAATTGAATATACCTGTAGGTTGAAAAGGATTTGAAAAGCATTGTATTCTGTTTTCATTTAAATTTTAGACAGTGTCCGAAATTTATTGGAATTGGGTTTGTATTTATATAAAACTGAATGTGAAAAAAACCCTACAGTATTAAATTACCAGTGAAGAATTCAAACTCGAATAGTATAATTCAGATTCTGTTTTTAAAAGTTAAGATTCAAATTAAACTATGCTAATTCAATTTGTGTAACTTAGATTCAGTTTTCCAATGCATTCACTCAAGTTTAACTATTCAAATTCAACCATATATTATTCAGATTCAGTTTCTGGTGTCACATATTTCAGCCCATAACGATTGTACATACATTTGGGGTAAAATAATGTAACTTGATGAGGGCAATTGAAACCAAAGAACACAGAAACAAAAGGTTATGAAAACTCCTCAAAGTTTTATTTTTAAAGAATTAAAAAAAAAAAATCATATACTTAGCACTCCACATTTCAATAACATAAAAATGGACAATACCCAGGGAAGTAATTTACGGATCATGTACGGTAATAGAAACAAACTAGACAAGAACATAACTGATGTACTTCTACAGGGGTGTAGTGTAGAGTCAATACAATATTTTTTTAGGAACAAAAGAGTGTTAAGATGTTTTACGCTTTTGTTTCTTTGTTTTTTTTTTTTTTTTACTAAGGTCAAGTCATGGGTGACTGGTCCATTCTTGGGCGTTTTCTGTCGGAGGTCCAGAATCATTCTACAGTGATAGGCAAGATCTGGCTCACTATGCTGCTCATTTTCCGCATCCTGCTGGTAGCCTTGGTGGGAGACGCCGTCTACAACGATGAGCAGTCCAAATTCACCTGCAATACCCAGCAGCCTGGATGCAACAATGTCTGTTATGACACATTTGCACCTGTGTCCCATCTGAGGTTCTGGGTTTTTCAAATTGTGCTAGTCTCCACTCCGTCGATATTCTACATCGTATTTGTTTTGCATAAAATTGCCAAAGATGAGAAGCTGGATGGACAACGGGGGCAGGTGTTAAGGCAAAGGTCTTCAAGGCAAGGTGCTGACCAGAAGGACGGCAAGGAGGCGATGAGGGTGGGTGTGCCGACTTACTGTCCTCATTTTAGGGATGATTGGGATGAGAGCGAAAGAGTGCAACAAAGCTTCCTGGAGGAGGGTCGTGGTGCACTCGCAGAAGATCCCACCGAACAATCTCACCAGGTTCTACTCATCTACATTCTTCACGTGTTACTTCGATCCATCATGGAAATCACCTTCCTAGTGGGCCAGTATTTGTTATTTGGCTTTGAGGTTCCTCACCTCTTCCGTTGCGAGACCTACCCCTGCCCAACTCGCACAGACTGTTTTGTGTCCCGTGCCACTGAGAAAACCATTTTCCTCAACTTTATGTTTAGCATCAGCCTGGGCTGCTTTGTGCTCAACATTGCAGAGCTTCACTACCTGGGCTGGGTCTACATTATCCGTGTCCTCTGCTCAGCCTGCTCCAACTGTTGCAGTCAGGAGAAGGATCCGGATAAACTGTACTCCAAGCAAAACCCCCTATTGCTTCAACTCAGGCATTCTCTGAGAGGTCAGCTGGTTCTGCAGACCAGATCGGCCATGGCTCAAGAGAAGACGGGGGGTTTGCTCACACGTGCCCCGGCGATCTCTTTTGAGACAGACTCAACTGTGGAATGCACCTCAAAGAGGAGTCCAGAGAACACAGACAAGGTGAAGGTCAAGTTGGCCAACATGGCCAGGTTGGGACGAACTAAGAAGTCTTGGCTGTGACAGCTTTGTGGTCATGCTATAAAATATGTGTTGTCTTGTTTTTCATATGTACCCCATTCATTCATCTACTCAACTCCTAGCAAAAATATTGTGAACATACTGTAGTAGTATGCAGGTTCAGCTTAATACAACCATTTGGAATGGGTATAATCGGAGATGATTCGCTGATTGTGAATAATGGTCTTGATTATGTTGAAGTGAGTGTTGATTGAACATGTCCGCTATGGTATTTTTAGATTTAATGTTCATTGTTCAAATAATTGCTGAAGTAAATGCATGCAGATATAATTAAAAACAGTTAATTAATGGGTTGCAAATTTTCTTAATTGCGATCAATGTGACCAATCAATGTGATCAATGAAGCCCAAAACAATGTGATCTATCTATCTATCTATCTATCTATCTATCTATCTATCTATCTATCTATCTATCTATCTATCTATCTATCTATCTATCTATCTATCCACATACACAAAAACATTATGATTATAATGTTGATACATTTTACATTGCTGCATTAAACAAGAATAAATGTATTCTAGATTGGTTGATTGAGAAGTGATTTTTATGGCTATAGATGAGAAGAAAAAGCATTTTCTGGAGAGCTCTTAATTATGCCTTGAATAGTGTTTGAACAAAATCCACCCTCCTGTTAATAAGAATTAGGTTTTGATTTTTACTTTTACATCCGTTGGTGCTGCCAAGATTACATAGTGTTTCAAGTCAGTGGCCTTCATTATGGCCAAGCATGTATATTTATCGATGTGTAGTTACTCAACATGTAGGGTAAATACGACGTTTGTTTCAATAAAATCACCTATCCGGCGACCAAATGGCCTTCTGTCATGGCTGCAATGTGACCTTGTTCCTGCAGATGGTGCTCTAAGCTCTTACTTCCATCTAGCGTGTGTTTCATTTGTATCAGTCCACCATTTATTGAAATGGATGTCAACAGTTTAAAAACATAATGGGTCACCCTTAAACCTCCTGCAGTAAATTACAAATTTACAGTGATTAAAAGAAGCAGAATGACCAATTATACATTGACATTTTTGTTTTTCTTTATACTGAGAATCATGAAATTGATGCACTCAACCTGGGCTTGACATTAACATTTTTGCTCAGCAGCCATTGTGGCTTGGGGTTTTCCAAGAGTTACTAGATGCTCAGAATTTCCACTAGCCACAGTTCCTTTGTTTTGTAATAGCGGTAATGCACAACCAAGTGGGTCGAAACAGTCAGTGCCAATTCTTAAACCCCTTTCTGAAAATCAACTGGGCCATCTAAAGGTATCAGCAAAAAAAAAACTGGTTCATGAGACAAATTTGAGCTTCATTTCCCCATCACAAGTTTGCAACAAAAACAACTTCCAACAACAAACACGTATGTTCTTCGTGCAAACAAGCATGCAATTATATAGGCCAGAGGAACACATTACATACAAGTATTCCAAATGTATTAACTTATTTTCAACTGAATGAAAATGTTACTTTGAATTTACTGCTTTTAATGAATCTTTAACAGTACCCGCACTGATATTTTTATTGTCTTAAAATATTCTTTAACTTTAAAAAATAAAATGTCTGCAATAGTTGTAATTAAATACATTTGATAGACCATATTCATACAGTGTTATTGACTTTGTACTAGTTAACACATTGTTCGCTTTCAGGTTAATTGCTGAGCCAAACGATCATCTTTCTGCAGCTGAAGCACCAACATAGAGGACGCTACAGACTATAAATATTTCCCGTTGGCTGTGTTTAAAGCTCAACCCATTTACGGGTGTAATGAATAACGTTTCCATTGAACAAGAACCTCCCAAGTAACGCCTTGGGGATTAACTAATACTTGAGGTGTTCATTGTTATTGTGTTATCTTGCTTTTGACAATGCTACACAAACTCACTTGTTAAGTCATCGTTAGCTCTGAATGTCAGCAAGTTATAAAACACTTTTTTGTAAAATAAATAAAACAAGGATTTAAAAGCAACAGCCAAGAGACAAAGAACTGGAAATAGGCGTGCTCAAAGTTGCACCAGTTTGGTGTCATGCAGTACAACGGAGGAGGGAGGCATCAGCTGCCCCCGCCAAAGCCCCATTAAGCACGGCAAATGAAGGCAATGATCGAGGCGCTCAAATCTACACAAGGACAGAAATCCATTCATCCATTTTCTATTCCACTTATCCTCACGAGCAGGAGTTGGCAACCCAAAATGTTGAAAGAGCCTTATAGGACAAAAAAAACAAAAAAACAAATATGTCTGGAGCCGCAAAAAATATAAGCTTTCTCTAAAACTTACAATGAAGGTAACACATGCTGTATGTATGTAGGAGACTGGACTGTCTCAGAATTGTTTATGTTATTCATTCCTTTGTTGTGTGTTTACAAACGCCCCCATAGAATTTATTTTGTAATTTCCTCGCTTGATTTTTTTTTGTTTTGGTGCATTATTTTCGCTTTTCTTAGTGTCAGTGAAGTGATCATTACTTTCCGTTTTTCGGAGGCTGTCTTTGAACGCCTCTCAAGTCGAACGAGAAGAGAGAAGGCACGGAGTCGGAGGCAGACATCTCTGCGTTTGTCGAGACTGTTAAAAACATAAATAAAGTGTACGTTTTAAAAAACCAACACCACAGCTCTCCTTTTTCGGAGCTGCAACATGTATTTATATCTATTTGAGCTATATTAGCCTACTATCAAAATCTTTTTCCATTTTCAAACATTTTTTTATAAAGCTCCAGGGAGACACTAGGTGTCGCTAAAGAGCCGCATGCGGCTCTGGAGCCGCGTGTTGCCGACCCCCGCTCACGAGGGTCGCAGGCGTGCTGGGGCCTATCCCAGCTGTCTTCGGGCATTAGGCAGGGGATACCCTGAACTGGTTGCCAGCCAATCGCAGGACACACAAAGACAAACAACCATTCACACTCAGTCACACATCTCGGGATAATTTAAAGTGTTCAATTTGCCTGCCATGTATGTTTTTGGAATGTGGGAGGAAACCGGAGTACCAGTTTCGCCAGAGCGAACATTGCACCTGTGCATTTTTTGGCGGACATGCTCACCTGTCGACCACCGTGCCACCCATCAGGAAACTAATGAAAAATAATCAGACTGAACTGAATCAAAAACAAAGCAAAAAAAGCAGCACTCTCTCTGGAGCATCCGGATCATATGGCCCGCTGTCATCTGTCTCTGCTAAACACAAATATACAGAATAAAAATTAATCTAACTCAATATTCCTTCTTAATGTGGTTAAGAGGTGACAGACAGGTGGCCATGAGCCATACATACCGATCGGCTGCGTTGGGGATCATATCGGAAAGGAGATGAGGAAGAGAGCACAACCGCTCACCCGGATGAAATGGTTGAGGCAGAATTGCGAGCGCGTTGATCCTGTAATAGGGAGCCTCTATAAGAGCCACTGAAAGGCTGAGTGTCCAACACTTCAATGTCTGAAATGAAATCAAAAATTGACTTTACCTCTGACACTAAAAGACTGAGGCAGTTACTGCTACGTTACCTGTATTGGCATAGCGGAAGGATAGCCAAGGTGACCCGAAAGTAGACGGACCTTAAAACCAGCGAAAAAGTAGACGGACCTTAAAACCAGTGAGCAAGAGGAGGGCACGAGCACTCCTCCCTACTTTTATAGGGAAGCAACGAACGTTGATAAGCTAATTGGTTCAGGCCAGGCAGCATATACATACAACCATCCTGCTCCACAATCCAAAACACAATTTGTATGAGTGCTCAGTTTACATTTTGGTTAGAAATAGAACTCCTTATGATTTTGGAGAAGATGTGGAATGACTGTACAGTTTTCTGACATTTTTTCACATTTTTTGGAAGCCCTGCTTCTCCAGTCATCTTCATACTTTATCACTGCACAGGGAGCATGGCAGTCCAAGCGACATCGGGAAGGAAGCACAGCACCTGCATTCTGCATTTCTCACTGACTACAGTCGTACTAGTTTGGTCTCGACTGGTTTTAATCAAAAGCCAGAGTCTGCTCTGTCCGAGACCAAGACAAGGACGAGTAAAACTTCCTTCGATTCCGAGACGAGACCACGACCTTTAAAAAGTAGTCTCGAGAATTACAATGCAAAAATAATACATACTTTACATAGAGCATACACAATTTCAGGCACACTAAGCACTGCAAACACTGTGGTGTAAGGCAGGGGAGGCCAGTTGATTTTGCAAAGTGACCACAGGGAAAAACTGGAACGATTGCTGAGGGCCAAGCAAACATGCTACCCTCAACTTTGTCCATGTTATTTTAAAATTATTTCAAAAAAACATGTCTTGTTTCAATAAATTGCTATGTGTGTCGATATGGTATACATTTTATGGATTAAAAAATTATATTCGCTCATCAAAATTTAATTTTTACATTTGTTTGTTGTATTTGTAATTGTAAGATCCCTTTTTTGCACCAACCGCTGAACGCCATTAGCCGTTCGTAGCGCAAAGAGTGTCCAACAAACACTGTGTTCAACGCTGAACTCTTGAGATGATCTGCTCTGAGACGGGAAACTCTGAGTTTCCAGTTCCAGAACAGCGGATTTGAATGAGTTGAATCAACTCGCAGTGTCTTCACCTGAAGTTAAGCGCGTGCACCACAACTACGAAAAGCCAGCATCCATGGATCCCCGATTCGATGAGGCACCATGAGTCACGGGGAATAGGAGGGCTGTGTTTTTCACCCCACTAGAACTGGAAATAATGCGCTCATACAGTGAATTTGAACACATTTTCAGGGAAAAGGGCAACTCCGCTCCAGCTGTGAAAGAGAGGGAGATGGCGTGGGGGAACATTTCTGCTCAGTTCAATGCATAACTTTCAATGTAGTCCTTGGCAGTCACAATAATATAACGGGGAAACTGCTGCCTATTATTTTAACCCTTTCAGGGACAGCGGTTACTACATTGGACAGCCAATCATGTTATCAGGTTACAGGTTATCATTTTTGGTGCATGAAAGGATTAATTCATTTAGGTGCAATCCCGAGGGACACTTGGCAACGGCTGGACATGAAATATATAAACATTGTTTTAACAGGTGAGACCTCGACATAACACACTTTTCTGCAGGCCTTGCATACAGTTGCCTCAGTATCTCCGATACTGCACCCAAAAAATATTGCAGAGCAATATACAATATCTGTTAGGCTGTGAGAGCATGACTCCGATTGGTAATGGTGCAAATGTAAGGGCAGATTACTTTGTGTATGTAGATGATGGTCATGAAACAGAACCGCCCAGAAAGACAACAGACTGAAAATACGAAAACATTTTTGCGCGGTCTCATAACCATCTCCCGATGAATATTCAATTCTCTGCACAGTCATGCTGAACTTTCAACCATGGGATCATTATCACAAGGACATGCCATGTTTGTCTCCACCTGCTGTGCCTAATGGACCT